AACTGATATGTTTAATTTTACGATTGCATTACTTGACTCAGAACAGTGAGGGGGTCTCTTGAGCTCTTGGAAGTCTGATAAGCAACCAACTCGGGTAGAAGACTAACTAGGGCCCAGATTTTAGACGGACACAACATTCAACTGGCGTCCGTATATTGAATGAATCGGCCGATGATGGTGGATGTTCGAGCCGTCCTGACAGGTATACTGATATTCCTTTTTTAAAATTAGTATCCCTTTAGACGGAAAGCTTTGTTGAAATTTTCTCTTCCGACTGCGATCTTGTTTTTTAAACATGGATCAGTGAGAAAAAAAATTTTGACAAATTTTCGTGATCGGTACCATGATGGGGTCGAGTATGACAAAGTTCCACAAGATCTCGTGCTTGTGGAGCTACCGCATGTACTACCTGTGTGCTTTACTTCCGGCAGCATGCATGGTATTCATAATATAGTGAATTATGATGGCTTGCGATGCTGATAGGGTTTTGGACGCTCGATCAAGATAAGTAAGTAAGCAAAACAGCGAAAACTATAACTTAAGCTTCAATCTTTCCTTCCACGTATGTTTCCGTGCCGGTGTCAAAGCGAATACTGAACCGCCAGAAACGTAAAATTTATTTTAAAAGCTTTTGGTGCGGGTGGCTCGAACGATAAGCGAAACTATCCAGCAATTTTATGTATACGACTTCAAGAGACGCGTGGAAGGATTGCATGTATTCATATTATAGTGAATAAAAAAGGAATCGTGCTGCAAATTTACGGCAAGAAATACGGCTTTCTAGTCCATGGCCATGTTTTGTGACCCCCGAAAAAGCTGGATACCAATCTTCCGGAAGCGCGCGCATTGGAGACTGGGTATTAGATGTTGTGTTTACATCGTTGTCTCGATCTGCAAGAACATCTATTTTTGACACGTTGTCTTCCATGTATTAACTTACCGAAAAATTGAAGCTTTCCTCGGGTGAAAGGACTATTTAGTTATGCTCCCTATAATCGACGATGAAGTAAAACGCTTTTACAGTGAGCTCAACATAGAAAAACCCATTGTACAGAATCCATTCATTCACCGGTTAGTCGTCACTAGTTGGAAGAAAAAAACCGAGGTAAGCCTTGCGTAGGTTATGACGTTACCAAGAAGATTGATCCTTTCCTGTAAGCTAACATCTTGTGAAAACTTTTACTCTACTATGAGTTCACTAGACACTTAAAACCTGAAGGCGGCTTTCCGTTAAGGCTTTGACAGTTTGTGCTTGTACACCATCGTTCGGTAACATTTGTAACGCTACTCCCCTGAGGTGAAAGAACTGTCTGTGTAGGGTTCTAGGTTGTCGTAACGCAAACTTTGTTAACTTTTTCATTATCAGCTACTTTTAAATGGGAGAGAAAACATTGTTGCCAATGGTTTTCACACTTTTCAGTGTATCATCTCGCTCGTATCCTATGTCACCTATACATAATTATGTTCATGATTCGCTATAAACCTACCAACACTCGACATATTTATTAATCTTTAACAATATTAACTCATGACAGTTTGTACAGCTGTTTATGCTCAACGAACAATCTTGAAGTTATTACGTTTTCTATTGCCTTTTTAATTTTCCGTGTAACAAATTGCGAAATTTGTATAACTTTAAAACACTCTTCCTTTTCGTTTGCAGACGTAATTTTGACCTGCACAGGTTATAAACAATCTCTCATTTTACTATTATTTATGGTAAACAACAGAAAATACCTGTCAAATAAAGCATTTTAAATTCTTTGACCATAAAGCACAGATAGATTTTATAACATTCGTCTTGCTTTGATGTAGCCACTTTTTCCCAGTGACCTTAAATTTCACAAAGTTAAATTAAGTCACTCTAGACCAAAATAAATTTAAAGTAACAAAGTAAAATTATTTAATTTTCGTATGTGTATTATATTACAAAAGTCAACTGTTTTTTAGTCCAGGTGTTTTAGAATTTTACAAATTTGAGGGTCCATAGCACTGTTAGTGTGATTATAATGTTTAAATTTATTCCTGTTTGGCCTTATTGATAACAGTTCAACTGACAACAAATATTTTCCATTATCTTCTATAAGTAGTATCATCACATCTTTTAGGTAGTAAATGAGTTATGATTGGTCACTTTAGTGGGCCATATTTCACTGAACAGTCTACTGCATTACACATTTGTTTGAATTTTAATCTTCCCCCTCCACAGGGGGTGGCCACACAAGCGGGGTTTCTGGTCATTTGTTCGAAATATAAAGAAATGTATGGGAGAATATTGAAGAGTCGTAATATCGTAAACTTATAGCGAGAGATGTCTATGTTAAGGCTCAAAATAAATGTAAACCTACCTCACTTGCCATGTATTGTCGTTTCTGTGGTTCTAAATGGCGAATTTGAGCAAATTGGTAGATTTTGCGTTGACTGTTACTCTACTGTATAAGAAGGAGACAAGGGTGGAAAGCTCATTTTCGACCGCTTCGCTTTCAAAGCCGATTCTCACCCAGAAATTAGAATCGCCCGGTTTCCAAATCGAACACCAGATAAACCTAAAGGTTGACGCTTTTTCTCGTGTCATTCAATCGAAGATCCATTCAAAATCCAAGTGCTAACTGCCAAAAAACTTTCAAGAAATGCAGCTTTCCAAGCAATCGACATCCACGGCACAGATTTGGTGTGCCAGGGAGCAACTGTCACGCTGTTTGCTCCACGTACACTGATTGGATGATGGTGAACAATGCCCTGTTTCAAATGCCTCATGTGAGAGGGGAGTCGGGCATATTCACGCCAGCAATTCATCTACTGACTAGCCTGGTGTGAGGTTTATGGTGTGTGACAGAAACTCTACACGACCTCAAACCTCTTTGTTCGCATAACCCAATGAGCTTTGAGTTGACAAAACCGCAAAAACCCCTGTGTTCCCGCCAGCGAAATCTTGTCTTGGTTTGTATCAGAAATAATATGTAGGCTATTGTTGCAACAAATGCGTTAATTTTTTGAATGAATAATTGGAAAGAACAATCGCAGTTGAAAACGTGGCAAGGTAAACAGAAATTATACATCCTATCGTTACAATTCAATATCGTTTAGTCTTGGACAAAGTTGATTTACCCTGTGATGTTTTGTAACCTTCAATTGTCATTTTTCTTAATATGGAAAATGTTGCCAGTTCAACCCTTCCTTCTCTTTACCGTTCAGCTCAATCTGCTTGTTCGAAAATAATCACAAGTATCCTTCTTATACAGTAGAGTAACAGTCAACGCAAAATCTACCAAATCACTCAAATTCGCCATTTAAAACCACAGAAACAACAATACACGACAAGTGAGGTAGGTTTACATTTATTTTGAGCCTTAACATTAGACATTCCTCGATATAAGTTTACGATATTACAGCTCTTCAATATTCTCCCATACATTTCTTTATATTAGGCGCAGTTGAATATTTTTATAGAAACTGCGCGGTATAAATTTAAATTTAATAATAATAATAATAATATTTTGAACAAACGACCAGACACGCCACTCGTGTGGGCCCCCTGTGCCCCCTCTATTTGAACCTCGAGATTTGATAAATATCTTACAGACCTCATTTCCTTGGTCTGTACTGTAAGTCTCCGAACGTTGTATTTTTTCAACTCTGATTTATGACCTGTGCAATTTGTGCTTCAGGGGCATAAATTCAAAAAGAAAAATGAGGTTCCATAACTTACAGTATAGACCTCTACTCAGTTTGTGCTAAGTATTTAGTTACCCACCTTTGACAACAAGTTTTTACTGTTATTAGTTGCACTGAATAATTTGTTGAGAACATTGAATTTTCAATCCTGATACCATTGTTTTGTTTCTTTTGACAGATTTTCATAGGCTTGATATTCCTTTTCCCCATCCGTCTTTTAGTTGGTATTTTATTTTTTATGTTTGCGGGGACTTGGTGTTTTTTCACCACTCTTGGTTGGAATCCACCAGACTTAAGGACTCCCTTAACCCCATGGAGAAGGTACTTACAATTTCATTGTTAAAAGGCAATTTCTAACTTGGTTTTCCATGTTCTTTATATTATCACAGGTTTAATTTTTTAGTACCAGCAAACCTATTATTTTCCTTTATTATTATGAACCTCATTAATTAAAGTAAGTGTCATTTACCCTTGAATCACCAGATGGATGAAAGACTTCCTTCCTATTATTGTGCGTGCCATATTGTTTGCCTTTGGCTTCCACAGAATAAAAATAAAAGGTAAATTAGCTACCCCATCAGAGGCTCCTGTGACAGTGATTGCCCCTCACTCTTCCTTTTTGGATATCTTGTTGTTGTGCGAATATGGAAAAGCTCCATCAGGAATTTCAAAAATGGAAAATATCAACAGCCCCATCCTTGGAGGTGAGATTGTCAGCTGGAGTGGTTATGAATTTCTGTACACAATCTAATTATTGTACCTAACACAAATCAAATTGTGACTGTCCTATTCTAATCAATTTCTGATTCCATTGGGCTATCTGTGAAATCTTGTTGAATCACATATAGTTTACATTTGTCGGAGGCAGGTTAAGCCCAAAATCCAACTTTAGCAATTTTTGGTTGAATATAACACACTGACTTTCCTTGTGGCAAGGTGGGAAGGGGGAGGAGTCCCTTGGTATAGTTAGTGCCCTGATCAAAGGTTGTATCAAGGCTGGAAGTGTTGACCAAGGCATGAGTTTCTTTATACCTGACATACATGTGTGGATCTCTTGTTTTCAAATCTTATTCTATAATCTCCCTTTGGGTAGTTCAGGGAGGCTCACAAAGGTCCACATGCAACAGTTGACTCCATTTATATTTTCTTCAAGTAGCAAAATGAACTCTATATAATTTTCTTAAATAATCTCTTGCTTTGAATGCCTAGGGGGCACTCCTCTACTTAAACCCCCTCAAGCTGTCTACCTAACCCCCTTCCCCCCAAGATTTGTTTATGTTATGGTTCAAATGTTTTTTGGGTTTGAAACAACACAAAGATGGCTAAGGAAAAGCTGCTCTCCTAGCAGTGAGACCATAGATAACTCAGACAACCAAATGATCATTTTCCAGGACTCTAAATTCTATTATTTTATACAGTCAATGATTATTACGGTAACAATAGTTATTATTATTAATAGTAATTATAATTGGAAAACGTACTTTTGGTGAATGAGGTAACTCTCCATTAAATATCTACAGTCTGGTGGTGAAGTCAAATTAGTTGCAGCCATAGCTTTCTTTTTTCAGGTTTTTTTCGATGTCTTGAGTGCATTGGTGTTTCAAGAGATATCACAAAATCAAGACAAACAGCTGTTAAGGATTTACAATACAGAACAATCACTACAAGAGGCCAGTGGCCCCATATATGTATTTTTCCTGAAGGTAAAAAACCATTGATTTAAGATAACACTACCTGAGGGGATTAAACACCTGTGATTAAAATACTTTGCAGGCATTTCTGCACCTCTCATGAAGCATGCCTTTTTTACTTGGAGTTCTAAAGGCAGCGATCAGCTTGAAGCTTCCTTCTCAGGCAACCCATGCGCATTCACCATCATCCAGGCATGGGAAGGTAACCTGGCAGGGGTGGGGAATTTGAATGCTAGGTGTCAAGTCTTTCCAGCAGAATACAAGTGTTATATCTTTAAATATGGAGGTGTTTAAAGATAAATTATTCACTTTTACAAATGAATGGCTCAGAAGAGGTTTATAAGGTCTATGTTTTAAAGGTAGGTCAATGTGTAGAAAGTCATGGTTGCTGATTTTGCCTTTAATGAAAAAAACTGGTTGCAGCATTTGAACACACCGATCTTCAAGAATTCAAATGCCATGAGTTGCTATGGGTGGGGAGGGAGGGGGCATGATGATGCAAACCCTCACCCTGATTGGTTTTTGTAGATAATTCAGACTTGGTTTTTCAAAACTTATCGACAAGTGTAAAATTCTCTTAACATATTAAGAAATTAATTTCCAGATGTTTGCTCAATTATTTGTTGTGTCTATTTGTCAGTAAATAATTGGTTATTATAATTGTTAACAATATCAAGAGAAAATCCCCTGCAAAAACATTTTCCAAACTTTATTATACCTCAGGTACTTGTACAAACAGAAAGTGCCTAATATCTTTCAAGCCAGGTGAGTCTCAATCCCTTTTAAATGGCTATATACTTCCTATTAGATCACTGATTAAACAAATAGAACTGTTTTGCAACTTTCCATTCCTTGATTCATGATTAGACATCTGTGCCTTGTTTTGTTAGATGGGTTTGAAAGGAATGCATAAGAAAATTGAGAAGTATAGCAATTGAAACATGGTACTTAACCTATTCAGGTGTTACTTAACATCGATTTGTATGATGTGAATTAAATTATAACCATTCCCCTGAACTTTCCATTTTTCAGGAGCATTTATTCCTGGCTGCCCTGTGCAACCAGTTTGTCTACACTTTCCAGTAAGATATTACGTGCACTCTGACTTGGTGTATGTTGAATGCTATAACTTAAATAACCAAAATTTCAGATGCCGTCTTTACAAAAGAAAATTAGCTCGCAGCCTTTTGAATTTAAAAGTAATGGTCATAGCTGTTTTCTGTCATATGCTGTAACAGTTGCAAATTTCAACTGTTAGATGAGACACTAAGAAACAACTCAAGCATGTGTACACTGTAAGTTAACAATGACTATCAACTAAGATAAACTATAACTGATAAAAATTAACCTGCCATAGAAGTGAAGGATTTGTTGAATTTGATTGAAAGGGAGCTTGACGGCCCTAGAAAATTGATGTTGAGAAACCATGTTCATTCTTCTAACTGAAATGTTCAGTTGCACAGAGTGATTGTTTTTTTGTTTGTTTGTTTATTCTTTGATATCAATTGAAAGATTTTTGTTCCCATTCGCAGGACTTATATGCTTGGACGTGGGATGGACCTGGAGCGTGAGTGCTTTTCACCATAAACTTATAAAATATGATTTCTTCTTGTTGCTGTGCAACTATTTACCATGATAAATTGGGGGTTTGGAGAGCGGCAATCAAGGTGTCAGCTTGGATATGTGGACTTCACTGATTGTAGAAGAATTCGTTTTTGCTTCCTGTAGAAATAATAGTCTGTCTGCCCAGTTGTTTAGGTTTTAAATTTTCACTCAAGAATTGCTATCAACTTTATCTTTACTTTCTTGGATTGGACAAAATGAATCCACTAGCTGTTGTCTGTTCTACATTGTATTTCTCTCATCCGGAATATGAGAGAAAGTATACAGATGTGTTGAGGACAAACTTATGTCTGAGAGAAGAAATTGTGAAATAATTAGAATTAAAATATGCTACAGAATGGAAAAAGAGCTTCTTAGCTCCTCTAGTAAACCATGGCCAATTGTCTAATACCCAGCATAATCGCAAATTACTGTGACTTGCAGGACTAAAGGATTAAGTTATTCCTAAGTTATTCCTCTTACAAAATATTGTTTGGTGCAGGTTGATATTGGCTCTGTTACTTATGTGTCAACTGAACAATGAAGCTGAGTTTGAGGTAAGACTCTCAGTTGAGAATATTTTCAATATGTTATTTATCTTCACTTTGGTGCACAAAGGGTACTTGTTTTGACAAAACTCATTTCAGTGTCTGGATGTTATATTTGTTTTTCTTACAGTTTTTGCCTGTTTGGAATCCAACAGAGGAGGTAATTGTGTGTGTTCAGGAGTGCATCATTTCCTTTGAAGCCTCTTTAAATATCAGTGTGTTTCTAACATTTCTCTGAAATTTATGGTTTCAGGAAAAAGAGAATCCTAAACTGTATTCAGAACATGTGCGAAACTCTATGGCAAGGTATTTGGTTGCTTAGTGCTGTTTCAACTTACTGTTTTTCCCTTTCTGACGAATTTCTGCTAAAAAAAAAAGCCATGATCTTAATAGACATGTAAAGCCAGAAAGGACTGAGACAACGACATAAACAATAAAAGCCTAAACTAAACGTACCCTTCTTCCTGCTCTTTTTTTTTTTTTTTTTTTTTTAAGCGGGGCGAGTGGTGGGGGAAAGTGAAACGAGTAAAATTTTGTCGTTTTGGTAAACGGAAAATTTCCTCTGCGGCAAAGCATTTTTACGATGTAAGGACAGTTTTTGAAATCAGAAGAAATTTAAACTTTCCTAATTGTATGATACGCGATAGGCTCTAAGTCTAATTTAAGGTTAGTAACATAATAGTTTTTCATCAGATGTTTGAATGTTCCTGTGACTGGTCATTCGTTTGAAGACACCCTACTAATGGAAGCTGCAACAAAGCATGGTTTACCATCTGAAGCGGGAATCATCGAATTCAAGGTCACTGCTACTAAACTAGGGTAAGCCTCTTTTAGTTTATGGACATTAATTTGTCGATGGGAAAGGTACAAAAAATGTCATTTTTTCCGTTGAGGGTTTAACAAGGGATAATTCGATTTGATCAATCGGGTTAATAATGTGAACTGGCCACCGTAAAGACCTTCTAAACAGGGACCGCGGAGGGGGAGGGGCTGGTAGGGCCGCGGCCCCACCACTTTTTTGCGTCCCCGCCCCCACTTTTTGCGCTAAAAGAAAAATAATTAAGAATTTGGGTATCTTCACTAATGCCGACCTAGAAAGAGCAACAAATATTGGATAAAGTATGCAAAGTCACGCGACAGAAACAAATTAAATACTATGATTTTATTCCTCTTTTCGATTTTCAATATGAAAAAATTATTTTCAATTGTCAGCCCTCCCACTTTACACCTTGCACCGCGGTCTCTGATAAAGCTGACATGCCGAGCGTTAGCCCTTCAGTTGTCAGAGCGAATGACTGTGAAAGGGCTAACGCTTGTACGTCAGCTTTCTAAGCCCTTTACGGTGGCCAATTTACATCTTCAACTCAGGTGATAAAATCAAATTATCTGGTAATCACACATACACTCGCCGACGCAGCACGGACAGAGCTGAATAAGGTATGCGCATGCGCTAGGTTTTGTTGCGGAAACACGGCTTTTTGAGTCGTTCGCAAGGTTGATTTCCTATTCTGTTGCTTCGAGGCGTCGTTTTCTTTGCCGCTTTCCTATTACAGAACAACCTCTTGGAAATAGGAAAATGCCTTGGACGAAAACAAAGTTCCTGGGTTTTAAATGTCAGCCCTTTTTCGCTAATTTCGCTAAATTTTAGACTTAGAACACTTGAGCCCACGTTGTTGACCGCACATCCTCTGCCGTAACATTTCATTATTCAGCTCTGTCCGCAACACGGTTGTTTCTCTTGAAATTCACTCCCTTCAAACGAGGGACGGGTTAGTGTTCCCTCTCTTGTCATAGGCATATTGAACAGTCATTTTCATCTCAGGAACACTTTAATAATAGCTAATGGTTACTGCCACAGAGCCTGTCACTGGTCGAAATTAAAAACAAAAAAACGTATCCTTCTCCCCAATCGTCTGATGCATGTGGCTACAGAACCTGCTGACACGTGCAATGACACGTGCTGACACGTGCAATGCCGGTAGTGCACGAAATAAACTTAGTTTCTCCTGTTTTCAGAGTAAATCTGGATACTGTAAAAGAACGTCTGAAAATGTTTGCAATCTTGGATTCAGATAAGGATGGTTCCATTTCGCTGAAGGACTTTGCACTTCATTACAAGTTGCCGACCTCAACATTTTTAAAGGAGCTCTTTTCAGTCTTTGATAGGGTAAGGGTTCAGTTGTAGTAGGAATTACGTTGCGGTGGTTTGTCCATCCCTATGTTGATAATCCGCTATGTCCTAAAATAGAAGTTGTCAGAGGGAGCACATTCAATAAACATAATCTGTTGATTTTCCATGTTTGGGTCTTTCATAGGAAAATGAAGGTGTCATCAGCTTCAGGGAGTACTTGATCGGATCGGTTTGTTTAGCCAGGGTGGCAGCTAAGAAAGAGGTTGCTGGGAGCGCTGTAAAGGTACTCCGTCTCATTTGCATTACTTAATGGAACAGTTGAGGTACAGCCTGCCTTATATCATTGTTGTTCAGGGGTGTGATATTGAAGGGTGAAATTATATGCTAGTCACTCTTAATGGTTAAAGGGTTGGTGATTGATACCTGTGGCACACATTATGAATCTCATTATTTATAAATTTTGTTAGACTCTTCAAGAATACAGCAAGCCAACGCACAGGACGATCTCCAGTAACCAGCAGGAAAGTATTCTTAAAAGCGTGTTAAAGTCTATTGATGACACATACGCAGACAACCACAACGTCAGGAGTAGAAATGGTAAGTACTTACCGGTGATTAGTGTTCAGTCTTAAGTTTATTGTTATCCCAACGGTTTATTGTTTTTTTCAGTCAGCCAGTCAATCAATTAGTGAGTCACACAGTCAGTTTATCACTGAGCCAGTCAGCGAGTTCATTGTTCAATTAGTTAGTCAGGGATCCAGTCAGTCAGCCAATCAGATAGTTAGTCGGTCCGTAAGTCAATTAGTCAGTCAGTTAGTCAGTCAATCATTCAGTTACTCATTCAGTCAGTTACTTATTCATTCATTCATTCACTGAGTCAGTCAGACAGTCAGTCAGTCAGTCAGTCAGACAGTAAGACATTCAGTCAGTTAGACAGTTAGTCAGTCAGTCATCCAGACAGTCAGCCAGTTAGTCAGTTAGTCAGTCAGTCCGACAGTCAGTCAGTCCGACAGTCAGTCAGTCCGACAGTCAGTCAGTCAGACAGTCAGTCAGTCAGACAGTCAGTCAGTCCGGCAGTCAGTCAGTCAGACAGTAAAACATTCAGTCAGTTAGACAGTTAGTCAGTCATCCAGACAGTCAGACAGTCAGCCCGTTAGTCAGTAAGTAAGTCAGTGCGGCAGTCAGACAGTCAGTCAGTCAGTCAGTCAGTCAGACAGTCAAATGGTCAGACGGTCATTCAGTTAGTCAGTCAGTCAGTTAGTCAGTTAGTCAGTCAGAAAATCAGGCAGTGAGCCAACCAGGGCCCGGTTGTTCGAACGGTGGATAGCTCAGTTCCTATTGTTAGCACTAATCCCGGCACTGCATGGCGATTTAACCGTGACTTAACAACTATTCACCGTTAGCCACGACACCGAGGTGAAGAGTTGTTTTAGCATATACCTAAACAGTTAGACTATTTGGCACAAATAAGTGATTTTAACTCATTTATTCCAACAACTATTACAATATTTTCGGGCGCGAATTGCTCGAAGGTAAACAGGAAAAGATATTCGGAGTTTGAGTAGCCAATCAGGGTGCGCCTTCAACGCTATCCACTTTTATAGCATATAGTAAATAGCGTTATCCGCCCTTTGAACAACTGGCCCAAAAAATTAGTTTGCCATAATATTTTCTTTGTCCTTCGGTACGTTAGCCAGCCAGTCACTGAATCAATCTTTTGGGCAGCCTGTCTACTTGGCAGTAAGTCAATCTGTCGATTAATCTTTCAGGTTGCCAATCATTCAGTAAGTCATCGCTTTAGCCAGGTAACCAACAGTCGGTTGGCCTGTCAGTCAGTCAGCTTGCCAGTTGACACATTCTATTTTTTTCCGTCTTATTCGCAATTGTTCAAGTTTTTTTTTTTTTTTTTTCTTTTGGGTGGCTAACATTTCCATTTTCATTCAGTAGCAACAACATTTACTATTTAACAATTATTCCACGAGCGCGCGTTGGATATGAGATGATAGATAGCCAACGAGGCGCGTAGCGCCGAGTTGGCTATAATCATCTCATATCCAACAAGCGCGAGTGGAATAATTGTTTTATTAAAAACGTTAAATTAAATTATTAAATTTTATTAAATTTTTAGCTCCCTTTTAATTTTAAGCTGACACGTACGCTTACCATATTTGTAGATTATGGTATATTGGCTGATATACCATAATGGCTAAGCCAATAAAAAGTCTTGAATTGCATTATCCAATGATCTAGTTTTTAATAAAATAATTTATAATTTGAAAGCACTAAGGGAATTTATTTTTTGATTGAAAGATGGACGTTTCAATGATATCGCCCTGGGGAAAATGGAATTTTTTTTTAATTAATATTGAACTGTGTATTTGATGCGTGGTGGTCGATATGCCTTACTTTCCTTCTTCTGTTGAAGAATTAGTAGGGTTAGGAACTGCATCGTGGTTCTTGTCAAATTATCTTATC